AGGAGAAGTGAAAGGGTGAGAAGAGATAGCCAAGGATAAAGAGGAAAGCAATGTCAATCCTTACAACCTGCCACCTCCATTTGGCTTGGCATGTTACCTGTAAATGCCACTTGACTCTTGCAACAAGTCCTTACAATGTTGTTCTTCCCAGCATGCACTGGATGAAACCAAGTCTCCAACGTCTCCAATAAGAGCACCAGGCAGCCCCAGCCAGTAAGTGGTGCTTCCCTCTTCTTTGCATTCTAGCACAGAGCCTCTCCAAAACACATTCACAAGTGATGGGTGTTCAATGTTTGTGATACATGGATGGATTGCCCCAACAGCAACATCTGAACACTCTATTTTATCCAGAGATTCTTCTTTGAACGTGCCTGCAAAGCATCTTGATAAGAATATAAATGTTTTACAGGGGTGTTCTCTATCATCTTTTAAACTGCAGAGGGAAAAATTAAAACAGCATCTACAAGACCTGTAAATAAAACATGCTGAAGCAGACTCACTGGCTGATAAAAATGCATTTGTTATCTTGCTATATCATGTTCAGAAGTAAGTCCAACAACTAATGAAAACCGATGTTTCGCTGCTTTGTTAACCCTAAGAATGCTTAAGTCATTTTCCCAGCTGCCACTTCAACAAGTTTATGCTAGAGTTAAAAAAAAAAAAGCTGGGCATCAGTGGCTCATGCCTATAATCCTAGCCATTTAGGAGGTGTAGATCTGAGGATTGTGGTTCAAAGCCATCCTGGGCAGTAAAGTCCATGAGGCTCTTATCTCCAATTAATTACCCAAAAGAAGCCAGAAGTAGAACTGTGGCTCACATGGTAGAGCACCCAGTCTTGAAAAAAAAAAAAGGTAAGGGAAAGTGCTCAGGCACTGAGTTCAAGCTCCAGTACTACAGAAAAAAAAAGCACAAAGGTTTTGAGCTGAAGTTAGACAGATGTGGACTGAGTCTTAGCTCCTCCAACTACTTGACCCTTGGCAAGCACCTTATCTCCTAAACCTTGATTTTTCCCATCTGCAAAATGCAGATAATAACAATGCATACTTTCTAAGGCAGCTGTGCCAATTAAGTAAATAGCTTGAGTCTTACACTCAGTACAGTGCTTGCTTCACAATTAAGTGCTCCATAAATATAGCTATTTTTTTAATCATGGGAAGAGAAGAATTGCAGACACCATTTAACAAGGAACTTTTCCAAATATTATCACGGGCACTAAATTCACTGAGTAAAAGCACTAAGTCAATAACACTAATAGCCATTAGCAGATACATATATATATATATATATATATATACTATATATTTATTTATATATGTACTGTTTGCCAACAATTTTCTTGTCACCCCTACAGATAACATCATGAATGTCTGTGAAGAATATTCCATATACAATAGAGTTGAACAGGGAGGTGAGCTGTGTTGAAGTCTGGCTTGTTGCATATTTAGTAAACCTAACCCCCTGGCTGGGCACCAGATGGTCCAGCGCAGAGGAACTAGCAAGTTAGCAAGTTAACTCTATGCAAGTTAGCACCTAGAGCTAGTCTGCACAAAGCCAACTCATGAAACAGCAGCAGCCTGATTACATGCAACAACCAATACATTAACATTCACAGTAGCTAATAGACAGAAGTAGTACTTTTCAAGGCACTGAGGATCCATTTCAGAAAGGGACTTATAAGATCACTGAAGAAGCTGGGAACCCGTAGCTTACACCTGTAATCCTCGGCTATTCAGGAGGCTGAGATTGTAGGATAGCAGTTCAAAGCCAGCCAAGGTAGGAAAGTCCATGGAACTCTCATCTCCAAATGAACCAGCAAGAATCCAGAAGAAAAGCTGGGGCTCAAGTGGTAGAGCACAAGTGAAAAGGCTCAGGGACAGCACCCAGGGCCTGAGTTCAAGCCCCTGGTAAGCACACACACATTTTTTTTTAAAAAGCACTGGAGAACAATTACTTATAGGAAACTGTAAGCTGGTAGCATGTGCTTTTGGAAGGCAAAAGTAAGGCTTGCCCTAAAGCTCAGTATAAATAGAAAATTCACAACTACCTCCTCCCAGTTTCCTGCTTCCCTTTTCCTGCAACAATTCAACTGCCCTTTGTGCGTGCAAATAAAACAAAGTAGCAGATGTGACCCCCCGGATAAGCAAATGTTATGTTCTGCATAGTCTAAAAACAACAACAAAAATTATCTGGGCAGCAAAGTGGTGTTGTGCTAAGTGTTAGGTCCTCAATATCACACTGAAAATTCTAGCACACAGCTGTCATTTCCAGACAGGTGGCATCTCTCAAATGCAAGCTCCTAAAAATATCTCCCAGGTATAAAAAGCCATTCATTTCCTGCCACTTTATGCATCCATAATCTTCATCAGGCTCAGAGCTGTGGACTATACTAACTCTTGGAGTTCTCCACAAAGAATAGGACCTGTGTTCTGGCTTCAGCTCAGCTACAGTCTGGGGAGTGGACAGAGAGGCAGGAAGGTTCCCAGCCCTTTCTTCACTGGAGTTTTGGGGGTGAACACAAACATCTTCCAGTTCTAGAAGACCATTCCATTATGCAAACAGGTTCCACATAACCCTTTGATATACACAGGATCCTAAAAGCAATCATAAACATGTATACTAATCAGAGTGATATTTTTAAAAAGTTGCCTACAGCCTTCATGAAAATGTCAGTCCTCTTAACTTTGTTTCCTAATAAGAACTGATCTAGACCTTGATATGAAAAGAAAAGAAAAACCAGTGTACCCAGCACTGGTGGCTCAAGCTTGTAATCCTATTCAGAAGGCTGAGATCTAAGGATGGACGTTCAAAGCTAGCCCAAGTAGAAAACTCTGTGAGATTCTTATTTCCAATTAAGCATCAAAAGAGCAAGTAGTGGAGCTATGGCTCAAGTGGTTGGGTGTTAACCTTGAGCAAAAAAGTTCAGGGACAACATCTAGGCCCTGAGTTCAAGATCCAGTACCAGCACAAAAAAGAAAGGAAGGAAGGAAAAAAGGAAGGAAAGAAGGACAAGAGAGAAAGGATAGGATAGCACAGGAAAAGAAAGGAAAGGAGAAAAGGAAAAAGAGAAAGCACTTCTTAACTTTTTCACTCAAGGTTGCTGCTCTACCACTTGAACCACAGCCCCACTCCCAGCTCTCTTTTGGTGATTAATTAGTGATTAGAGTCTCATGGACTTTCCTGCCCAACCTGACTTCAAGCTGCCATCCTCAGATCTCAGACTCCTCAGTAGCTAGTACTATAGGCACCTGGCTGAGATAAAGTGATTTTAAACATATTAAAATAATAGAAATAATAATAATAATCTCTATCAAAGAGACACACACAAAAATAAAAACAGTTAAAATACTAAACCAAAATCATAGATTTGATTTTTTAAGTTGTTTAAAAGAATATATTTAACCATTACCATATACAACAGTTCTTAAAACCTTTAACGATATTTAAAAGCCATACTGAATCCATCCAAGGCCACTTTCATTGATTTTAGGGCCTTGATAATGTTTTTCAAGGATATCCTTTTGTAGTACAATATTGTATGTCAAGAAGGAGCAGGAACTTAAATGTCTCTGCTACCTCAAAGGACAGGGTGGTGGTAACAAATGACAGCCTGGAGTGATCCACTATGCAGAGGAGGCCCCTAGTGGTGAGCCTACCGCTACACCTTGGCTTTACAGATCTTCAAGGCGGCTTCATCATGAGGGCAAAATCAATAGGTAATAAAGTCTACCTCAGCTTATCCTCTTTAATACCTGTGAGCCCTGATGTATAGGAGGGCTATCATTTACAATCCCAAGGCCCTTTTGCCAAAATAAAAAAAAAACCATGGGACCTGAAGAATAACTTCAATGCATGGTGAATTTCAAATCAACAAACATTTATTAAGTCCTCAGGAAGCCGCCTGGCACCAAGTTGGACCAGGAGGCCTGGGGAAGCAGGAGGTAGAAGAAACCCAGTACAGCACTCTGTGATTTCTTTTCTCATTGCTACTGGAATGAGAGCACCATGAAGACTGGACAGTCCAGTTCATCACCAGAGGACTAGAGGACGGAATTTTACCAACAGAAAAGCCCAGCAGTACTGCATACCACCATCCCCAAAGCATCATTTTCAGATGTCCAGAGAAGACATCCGTGGTTCTTCCATAAAGAGATGGGTGGATGGATGAAAAGTAAGATCACATACACAAGAAAAAAGTCGTAATGCTATTCAGTGTTGATACATGCTAGATTCGGGATCCCTGAAAGCTAAAGAAGGGCAAAAGGCAAGAGAATCACAAGCATGTGCTGTGCCCGCACCAGGGTTCCCTTCTGGTCTGTACAGTTGGCATCTTACGTCTAGGGTTAAGTGAGGCGGTTCCAGGTCCACGCAATTCGGGAATGGGAGAGACTTGCTGGGAGCTCAGGGACCTGCCACAGCCAGACACCAGGTGCCTTCCACTCCTGGTGTCCACGGAGGAATCTCAACGTTTAGATTTCCCTCCATCGCCCACGCGTGCAGATTTTAAACGACGCCCAGGCGGTAGGATCTCGGTCCAGATTGTGTGCTGTGTCCCGGGTGGGGGGATCATCCCTGGTGCTCCCAGCACCAGCCTTGTCTGGGGCTCCCAGTGAACGAGACCCCCACCGCCTTCTACCCTCTGGGCGACCCGCACAACTCCGCCCTCTGCTTCTCTACCCAAGGTGTGTTTTTCCTAATTGCCAACCTGACACCTCCACCCAGAGCTTGTTTGAATCAACGCTCATCGTGGGGACTCTAGCGTGGTGGATCACCTGCGCAAAATCCCTGCAGAATTTTTTTTAAAATGGCAATTTCAAGCAGATACAGGAGGAGGAGGGGAAGAAGGAGAGGAGAAGGAGGAGAAGGAGGAGGAGAAGAAGAAGGAGGAGAAGAAGAAGAAGAAGAAGAAGAAGAAGAAGAAGAAGAAGAAGAAGAAGAAGAAGAAGAAGAAGAAGAAGAAGAAGAAGAAGAAGAAGAGCAGCTGCAGTTAATTCTCGACAAACCTGAGGACACTGAAGTTCCAGACTGTCACCCGCAGAACCACAAGCCGAGCGTGCCAGCCGTGAACCACGCGTCCCCCGTGGGTGGGTCTTCGCCAGGGCCGCGGGGTGTGGAGTGCGGGATTGTTCTTGTCTTTCCTCCCTCCCCCCTTCTTTGCCCACCATGAGAAGGTAAGTTCAAAGTCACTGGCGGGGTGCAGGTGCAGGGGATGGGGCGGGAACCCAACTCCGCCTGGGCCGGGTCCAGCTTTCCTCCCTCCCTCCAACCCCGCCCTCCAACCCCCCCCCAGCCCAGCCCACCGCGCCCCAAGACCACGCCTGGGCGCTCCACCCGCTCCGATCCGCCGGCCCAGGGCACGGGCCGTTTCTGGGGTGGCCCCGCGGACAGGACCAAGGCCGGGGGCGGCCGCCCACCCTCCCCTCCAGCCCGGCCGGCCCACGGCGGAGAATCACACAATGGCAGCGGAGTCGCGGCGGGGCGCGGGCCAAGGCTACTTGTTTTTTCTTGTTTTTAATTCTGAGAAAGTCATGGAAACAGCCCCGTCCCCCCGCGACCCAAGCTGGCGAAGCCCCCGCCCCGGACCCCGGACCCCGGCTCTGCAGCCTCCGCCGCGGGCTGCGGCGTCCACCTGAGCGGCTCCCAGCCGCGGAGTGACGCGGAACCCCTTCCCAGGGTCGAGGCCCCGCGGGGTGGGGTCGGGGGGGGGGG